GGAAGAACATCTTGCACGACCCACCGAATCCTGAAAAAATTGCCTGATGGAAACTTCGAGCAAAAGTGACAGATTTATGTAGAACTACGAACCAATCTTCTCGATTGCTTCGATCTTTTGGCGTGGAAGTGGAGGTGTGAACAATTTGTGGTGGTACTTCTTGAGGTGTCCCAATGAGGATGTGACAATCACGTAATCGTACATCTTCGAGATTTTCCCCTTGGAGGTCGTCAGGGTAACCCCAGACGCTGAGTGGTTGATGTTCAGGATAGTGGTATTGAAGTGGAACATGTATTCTGGTATAGCTGCTCTTAAATGCTCAAGTATCGCTTTGTAGCCAATCTTGTTCGTGTGAAACGATTCGCCTTCCGTTCCTTTATCGTTCCATTCGGTCAGCACTCGGGGGCTGAGCTGAAATTTGTGTTATTATGTGACTGCTTCTCGGAACTTCGCTGAACGAGGAGCTAAAATAACACATCAGCCCAGTCAGCTGCCCATTCGAATTCCCAATACGACCTGTAGGAGCGGGTAAGAGCGTCGAAAACATTTCGTCTGAGTCCAGTGATGTTGTTCACCTTAAAAAAAAACGATTTTTGGAAGAGAGCTTTTCTAGCTACAAGAAGTCCTCACCTTTAAAAATAGGGTATAGTCTTCCATGAATATACTTTTAATCGTGTAGACACGCGATAACAAATCATGCTTGCTTTGCCAACTTGACGATATTTGGGATCCAGTGGCTCACGAAACTTCGTGAACAGCTCAATGTCCTTGCCTAGGTGGGTAAATGGTTCAAGGCGAGTAAGGTTAGTGTCTTTATCAAGCCTGTGTAAGTCCGAGCACAGTCATTAATAGCTGAACATCTCGTATTTGCTTTCCCTACAAATCTTATGGTTACGAAAGAAAGGGGTGCTCCAAGAGCAAGAGGCACCGCAGGAACGTACATCGCTCAGAGACTGTATGCATGGTCGAATCTCGCCCAGATCTGATCGATTTTGCACTAATTACTTACCGCAAGTCATGGCGTAAACCCTATCGTATTCAGATATACATGGAGGGGGAAGGGCAATCGAATAAGGAACACATTTTGTTTCCACATTCATTAAAACTGGATTAGCCACATTTTGCTGAATCCAAACCGAATGCTGCCAGCTCGACATCAGGAGAATATGCCACGGAAACTTGGTGCACGGGCCGAGTTAAACGGACGCTTTACGGATCATGGCTCATTGCGACGTTTTAAGTGCTAATTCGGTGGGGGGGGGGGGTGGCAGCTTGCATATTCAGAGCTGATGTAGGTAGAAAGCTACCCAACATCAATCGATTCACGAAATTGCGTAAGAGCTTCAGGCTGAAGCTCTTACGGTAGGTCCTCCTTAAGCTGACGGCGATGCCAGATGACGTCATAATTCAGCAAGCGGTGAGGGCAGTGTAGGAGGGCTTGAGGAGGGTCTTTTATTTTTTTAGAGAATAGGTCAGAAATTCGGACTTCTGTCAACGGCAGCATCTATGCGATAAAAAAATCGCTGATGTGTGACATGGGCAAAACGCTTTCTGTCCCCTCCCCCTGTAAAGGCTACATCTGCATCACCATGTTTTGAATCCAAGTAGAATACATAGCAAGTCTCAAAAGTGTTCGGTTGACGCTAAAACTGTGCTTCTTCTATTTGCCGACACACTTTCTTCTTTACGTAAAATCTCAAGACAAGGGTGGCAATAGCGAAAGGACAAGCGCATTGTGCTACTAAATACCTTGTCTAGGTGGATCCGACCACCCTGCGTTCGATTTTTGGGCGATGGACTCGTTTTTTCAAAAAACTATAAGGTGACCTAGACTTTGAATATTTAGTATTTGCTATTCAAATTTTGCCCACTCTTGCTTTTCTTGCCGATTTTTCTTTGGAATAGTGATTACAGTCATAAATTGCGTCACTTCCGGTATGGAAGAGTACCTGTCTATTGGTTGGCTTCCAATCAGGTATTCGGCATTCTGCAGTTGTGCTGTGTCGGAAATGATGTCGGCAATGACTCCCAGTTTATCTGCGATTTTGTAGATTGGATTGTCCGCCCCGTTTATGTATTCTGCTCCCATTTGTAGGAATCCACCACCTTAAGATGGAATTTCGGTATCATATGAACATCATATGACCCAAACAGACATACGGTATGGCACGGGATGTATACGTCCTCCAATGCGATCCATTCCTTCGTAAATGTCGATGTCAGTTCGTCCTGTTTCAATCAATCGTCGAGCTGCCGACAAACCGCTCATGCCGGCGCCGACGATTGCTATAGAAGGTTCTGCTTTGTTCGACTCTTTCTAAAAAGCGAACCGTATTAATTTACTCCAGCGAGTGCAAAATTGGTGGTCTTCAGAGTGCTCCTTTGTGGGACTGACCCCGGACAATATAAGAAATTTACAGCCCACCTGCACGGAGATTCCGCATGCTATGACTACGATCAGCAATGTGAGGGATCTCATTTGCTGTTCGCTGGGTACGGTTCTGACGGTTTCCTGCCACTTTCTGTTGGTGATGACGAGTTGGTTTCACTCGGCACAAAGCAATAGCGTTAGAAAAATGACGCCTTCGCACGGCGCGATTGGCCTATATAGTTGACGATAAGATACGCACCGTAACAATCAGGTGATTGCTGTTTTCCCTCACATGCCCGCCTGTTACGTTTGTGGGCTATTTTAGCGTCATAAAGGAGCGATGACAGA